AACGATCTATCGGCAATTCCTTAGGCATTCCAACGCTGCATCACAGACAGAATGAAAATTAGATTTCTTTTTACTTTATTTCAGGAGTACATAGTTGTAAATACCATTTCTTGGAGGGAACGAATGTCGACAGTTTGTCCAGCTACCTATACACTTCACGTGATAGCTTGCCTTGTTCTTCTGAAGGTGCGGCATGCCAAATAATCTGGGAGCAGAAGCAACTTGATTCCTCCATTTCTGCAACAGCAGCATTCTGTTCGGGTCGTCTGAGTTCTGACCATTACGGTAACGTGTGCCATTTGTGTTCAAACTACAGGAATTAATTTAACCAATCTCAGTCAGTTATGTGCCATGCGTGGTACACGCTTAGGTGATCATGTATCTTTCGATACATAACTGACGAGGCAGATTTTTTCCCGCATGTCTTCCTGCAGTAGACCAGTTACCATCCATAGCTGGGGCGGGGGAGAAGTAGAGGAATCATACCTTTCCCAGCACGTAAGGGAATGCAATTGATTCAACTGGAATTTGAACTCGGCTCTCCGATTCCTCAATTCGAGCTGCTGTCCATTACTCCACCAATCTACTTATAGTTATTTCGTCTTCACAACGAACACAAAACGTTAGCTTTTGTGACACTTGGCTACAGTGGTATTCAGGAGATGAAAGGAGAGGTGCATGCCTTCAGGTGACTAGCAAAAAACAGAGAAACTAGACTATGTTTGCACGTACCCACGTACAAATGGAATTATTTTAAGAGCTACCTGATGCAACTAAATTTCCAACATGTGAAAAGGTGGAAAGAACAGGAAAAAATCCTTGGCGACTTTTAAACAGGGTGGGAATTATTTGTCTATATTTCTAAGATGATGTATTGTAACTATTTACACTATGTAGTGTAAATAGGTTGGGTATTGAATTTAATTAATGGCGACAACGATGTACGTGGTAGGCTGTTCCAGTCACCCCGTTTTCTAAGCTGTCAGCCTACGTAAGAATAGCACCCGTGAAAGACATCAATTGTTCACCTCTATTTGCTGTAGTTTCCCTGGAAATAAGTAGGCGTTATTTTTGGAGCATTCATCGTATCTTTTATATACTGTCTTCTTTGTGATATTCTGCCATTTTATAGATCCTTTTTTTCATCTATACTCATGTTTATTTGTTCAAGTCGAACTATGCAATATTTTCTCAAATTTGGGACGAAAGTCGAAATATGCAAGCAACGGTAGTTTTATAAAACAATGAATTCGAGGGGTGTATTTTTTTAAATGTCGCATTTGAATATCTTGTAGACAGTTACGCCAGATATTCTTGGGTAAATATTCACATGACTCTTTGACAAGGCTATCGTAAGAGGAAAGTATAAATTTCTTTCGTGCGCCATGACACTTCAAGACGTACACGATCATGACACTTCATAACATTCTATCCTTTGTGGCTTTTAACAATATTTGTGATTTCCACCATCCATGTTCTTCCATCCATTTGCGCAAGCTTGCTAAGTAGGTTGCTAGGTTTTCCTCTGTCTCTCTTGCATTCAGATTGTCCTGTGAGTGTCAAATTCTCCAAACCTTCTTTCATCAATATTTGTCGCAAAAGTTTCAACAGACTCTTTCTGGTACTAGGTGTTCGTTTTGGTTTTAACTTTCTCATGGCTTGCATGCATCTATATCGTATTCTCATTATTCTTTAGAACTTACCTCAAGTCCCGTCTTTGTGAGAAACGTGTCCAATATTCACTACCATATAGTTTGATAGATATGATAGCAATTCAATAAGATTTTATTTGTTTTTAACGAAATTTTCCTGTTTCATAATACTATGTTCAGCTTCTGGAAGGCATATTTCTCCATTTTAATCCAGCTTCGGATTTCGGTGTCTCTTTTTCCTTCATCTGTATAAAAAACATTTTCCGTTTTCCTTTAGAAACTTGTCTAGAGGTTCCTGCAGTTTACTTTATGTAGCTGCAAGCAACACCGTGTCATCTGCACATCGTCAATAGTGCGCCTACCAATACTAAATTATAAAAATAAAAACTATCTCTTTGTATCTATTTGAATGTTTAGAATTTCCTATCAGTGCATTTTCCCGAAGAATGCGTTTAATGGTGTCTGCTGGGTTACATTCATTCATCAGTTGTCTTGCAGTCATTTTTGGTTGGTTTTATTTACTTTTTTTTTTTTTTTTTTTTTTTTGCTGTTCAAATCAATTTACGGACTCCACTTTGTTGCTACTTTTGAAGACGACCAGATCTTGATACATTTCCAGTCTGTCGCATCTTCCAGATAACTTGAGAAACTTCATATCTTTCAGATACGAAGTTTCATAGCTATTTTCTCTCTGGTTCATATTCGCGGACATTTCCACGATCTTCATTCTGGCTTCTTTTGTGGTTTATTTTACGATGATTTCAATTGATTCATTTACTCTGATTATCTGTTAACACAATTATTATGCAGGTATAAATAACAATTATAACGCTAAAATGCAAAATTCACCAAGTTATTTCCCTTTGCTTCTAACTTATGCAAAATGATTTACGACTTATACACAATCATTTTGGTCGGTTAGCGAATATTTTTCCCGGAAGTCTATAAATCTTAGCTATATAAATAGAATTCACAGAGACAACGTATCATCTGTAGAAGAAAACGTTACAAAGTATCTACAAGTAGAAAATTTATTAAAAATTAATAATCGTTTGACTTTTACTTTTGAACGATATTCTACATTCTTATACCGTGAATTAATATCTCCTCTTAGATTGTTTGATACCCTAAGCTGCTATTGCTTGGAGGTTGGGGGGCTAGATGGATTCATGCCTTTCCCAAGGCATTTGCGTGAAAGTGAATTGGCTGTAATTCGAGCATTTCAACGCGCATATCCTGTTTTCGAATGAATTCTTTTTCCCTATTAAAAATATTTTATTTAATTCAGGGACCAAAATATATATTTCTTTATGACAGCATATTAATGAATCTTTCGTCAACCGTCCCCAAACAGTAATTGCTTTCCCTGATTTCATCAACATATACGAATCGTCAATAAACAACTACATCCGCTGTCCTTGGTCTTCTTACACCCGCAGTTGATTAAAGAAAGTTTTCGGGATATATCTTGGAAACCGCTTCCCTGTGTAGACATTTTTTTTGTATTTACTCAGCCACCCACGAGGTCAGGTTATGACACAAGGTCGGTTTAATGTAGGGAGCCCGAGCGCATACACCCGGGCTATGAATAAAAATTGACCTAGCCTCCTGCAACCGTCGGTTGTTCTGGCCTCGGCGCGAGCAACGATCCCTCTCTCTGGTGCAATGACAGGGCGCAGCCTCGGGCAGCTGTTCCCCAGGGCTGGGAACCTCTTCAGTATAATTTTCCTCAGTTGCGACTCTGTCCTTTGACGGAGTCGCCCCTGAGCGCACTCTGCCCAGAGACGCAACTGAGAGATGATAAATAAACGTGTTACAAACTATTCAAGAGAGTAATTCCCAAGTGTAGACAGTTAGGCAAAGTTTAGCATACGTACCCGTAAAAACATGGTGTATCAAAGGCACAATTTTAATAAAACCTAAGCATATGAAACTGGATTGATTTTCATTATTCTCGAAAAATGTCGACAAAAATATTATAGCCTATTTATTTATTAGATTGTTTATTTTCAATAATATTTTTATATTTATAAAATTGCAAAAATCTGTGAATCAACTGTAATGTAATATTTCAAGTTCCATCTTCTCCCTTCCTGAATCGTGTTCTTTTATTGTCCTTTCTCCTCACTAAAGCCTTTTCATTATCTTTCACTCGCAATAACCCATTGCGTCTTAGTGGCATTATCGCCTTGCTTGAGGGGAAATGATTAAAAAAATAGTGTTGATTTGCAATATAACTGAAGATGATGACTCGATAATTGCTTGATCTTTTCCCTTTATTTCGGCTCATCAGCACTTTGATCATTCAATAAAAACATCTATCATCCTGGGTTACTCGAAGGGATGCACAATAACTAAAATTCTTAAGCCAAATAAGTAAGAAAGAGTGCTTTTTTCTTTTCTTTCTTTTTTTGCTGTTTCTTTAATTTTCTCACCGTTTCCTGTGTCTCGCAGGAAAGTTTATTTCCCTGGAAATCACGAAATAAACATTAATACTTATTTTGTTTTTTGTTATAATTCCATTCATCACTTTGACTGCGGAAAACAGGTATTTCCGTCATCCCAATTAATAAACTAAAATTCCTTCTATATTTGGCAGGAAAATATTCCATCTTTAGCGACCTGACTTAAAATAGTTACAAGTCTTAGAGGTGTCAATATCGTGTAATTATTTCTTATGTAACGCGTGATAATATTACATAAAGGAATGCTCACAGCTACAATGACACAGCAAATTCTGCCCATAGGGAGCGCCAAAATGTAACCACTATCCAGTTGTATTTTAATAGTAAATGTATTTGAACCTTCGGCGGCGAAGTCGCGTTGCTTAATGATCTTGCCGCTAATTCATGTTTTACGTATTTTCTCGTAACACGAATTCCAGCGATAGAACAAAAAAGTGATTAAATATTGTAATCTTTCCGGAAAAAAAAAGTTTTCAGTTGGCAACTGACGAAAAACAGAATAACAAAGAAAATAACGCATAATTCTTCAAACAAATATTAACATGACTTCCCAGAATCTTGCCACTAATTTTGACTCTACATGTATATATCAATAGCTAAGTACTCGTTTTCAAGTTAGTCCGTCTACTTGAGGAACTAGTAAATTTCTGTTACTAGTTATTTTTGTTTTATCTTGAAACTATGCTGAACAGTCCGTAGTTAATTTCAAAGCCTCGGTCACGATGACTTGTAGTTCCGTGCTATAACAACCATCGACAGCTTTCGATCATAATGGTCCTATGGTTTTCCAGACACTTCCCGCTTTCGCTGACAATGCTTTTTGTTATGGTTTTGGCGGCACTCTCCGCTTTTGATTGCAATGCTTCGTGCTATGGATTTGCAGGCACTCCGCGCTTTCGATCACAATAGTTCATGCTAGAGATTTGCAGGCACTTCCCGATTTCAATGACAATGCATTATGCTATCGTTTTGCAAGCCCTCTTCTCGCTCACATTGCTTCGAGCTATGGTCTTGCTCTCTCTCTCTCTCTCTCTTGCTCTCTCTCTCTTTCTCTCTCTCTCTCTTTCTCTCTCTCTCTCTTTCTCTCTCTCTCTTGCTCTCTCTTTCTCTCTCTCCCTCTTGCTCTCTCTCTTTTTCTCTCTCTCCCCTCTTGCTCTCTCTCTCTTTCTCTCTCTCTTTCTCTCTCTCTCTTTCTCTCTCTCTTCTCTCTCTCTTGCTCTCTCTCTCTCTTTCTCTCTCTTTCTCTTGCTCTCTCTCTTTCTCTCTCTCTCTTGCTCTCTCTCTCTTTCTCTCTCTTTCTCTCTCTCTCACTCTGGCTTAGATCACAATGCTGCATGCTATGGTTTTACACGTGCTTCCCGTTTTCGACCACTACACTTCGTGCTAGTGTTTTCAGGCACTCTCCGCTTTCGACCCCAATGCTTCCTGCTATGGTTTTGGAAGCCCATCGCAATGCTGCTTCGCGTGGTCAAAAGAGAGGAGGCTTTTAGCGTTCCAACAATGAGACCCAGGCCCGAATCGCACTCTGGTTGATTTCTCAAGAGAGCAATTTCAAATTACGATATCTTACTGTTTGGGCGGAAGGGGGAACGTCTCGCTACATTCCGCTTTTTTTCCGCCCCATACAACCCAACTTCATCCCCTGCCGTCAAGTGGGAAGGAAAATTCCGGACACAACAAGCAAGCGGAAAAGACTCGTTGGGCTCCCCTGGCGACTTCGACGCGACACTTCCTCCAGCCCAGTGCCCTCCTACACGCTCTTCCACCACGAGCCTCTGGTGTTCGTCAGTGAGTCACCGATGGGAAGTGGACTGAAAACTTATATATACACGCCATGTAAACCTTGTTATAACGAAAATTATTTATAACATCATGTAAATTTTGTTATAAAGAAAATTATTTAAATACGTTAACAATCACTACAGGGATGTTACAAGAATCGATATCAAAAGTTTTAACACATTTGCTGCTGCATTGTAATATTATCGTTGCCTGGCTGTGCTGGCCTGTTTTGGGGAAAATAGGAAATTCAACATGTATAATGCCTGGAGGCCACTCGAAGTAGAGGATTACGCTAGGAGGCAAATTGTTCAGATGTGAGGCGAAGATAACGGTTAACCCTAAACCTGAACAGGTTAAGATTGTAATGGTCTGGGAAACATCATCTTGGGAATTGCTTCTACAGAGCAGTGGTTCACTGGAACAAGCTGTTCGAGTGGAACTTTCTTCTCACTGTTTGAATACGGAGGGGATGTAGATGGTTTGCTCCTATGTAAGTGGCGTGGCATGTTCTTGCCGTAAAGGTTAGAACTGGCGGGATAATGGAATGTAGTTCGCCCGAGCACTTTTCATGGAAGCAGCGATAGAGCAGCGATTGGCTTACCACAGCCCGCCTGTGGGGAACAGGTTGAAGAGTGTAGAATAATTCGTCACCCACTAGAGATCGGAGGCGCTTTTGGACTCTGTCAAGATTGGAGAGTGATGTCTGGGCAGTTCCCGCTCAATATGACAACAGCACTCCATATTTGACCTGATTTGGCTCTTGTAGAGGATAGAAGGAGTCAGTTACTTACAGGAGCCGTACAAGGAGTCGAGAATCTTACCTGCATCCTTAGCAATAGATTGTATGTACAAGTTCAATTTGAGGTCAGGAGCGTGTTTAAGGCCAAATAGTTTTTCAAGTCACGGCGCCTCCCCAAGAGGACATCTGTTAAGTGGTCCACCCCTTTTTATACAAGTGGACTCGCTCAGTATGTACTTGTACTGCTGCCAGTGAATACCCGGGTGTCGAGAAGTCAGACAGTGAGTGACAGTGATACAGTGAGAGAGTTAGGGAGTGTAAGGTAACCGCTTTGTAGGAGTCACAGTTGCGAGCTCGTAGACTCAGAAGGAAGTCATACTTCGATACTGAATTTCCCAGACTGTATATATATTATTATTGCTACTAACCGCATTTCTGGATCTACTAACCGTAGTACCTATTGTATTATTATGTCAATACATTTATTTGCTATATTTCATTCCTGCGTTTGTCATTCATTTTGAGACCGGATTTCATCCCGGAATCCACAACAACATCCGTTCATCGTGAGTGGTAGTAGTTCGGGGTCCAATAGGGGAGAATGAAATGCACTGGAAACAAATGATTTTCATGGGCGCCGCCATTTTGGTTTCAACTCGATACTTTGCAGTTAAGCTAAACGACACTCAACACACAATATAATAAAAATACGCCACAAAACAGATTATAATGTACACTACTCTATGTCTACGCTGGTTTGGAAATAGCAGTAAGCACAATTTAGTTAATACCAAATAATAAGGAGCAATAATTTATGGTATCTTGAAAAAGTAAATCTATATCGCCAGCAGTCAATGTAAATTTCGTATAAATATATGAGCAAATCAGCACCAGCGGAACTATTAAAATACACAGGGTATACATTCCAAAATGTTTATTGTACATTTTAGTATGTGAAGATATATTGAACAGCCGTGCATCATTTTCAAATTTTTCCGTTTAAATTTCTTCTCCTAACTGCTATGTAATATCAATCCTCCTAAATGGAAGTGAATGCTGGATAATTTCCTCACAGATGAAGAGGAGACTTGAGGCAATAGAAACAAATAAGAGTTTTGACTTCTATGTAATATCAATCCTCCTGTTTGACAGTGAATGCTGGACAGTTTCCTCACAGATGGAGAAGAGACATGATGCAAAATACGCAAAGAGGGATTAAGTGCTCTATAATATCAACCCTCCTATACGGCAGTGAATGGTGAACAATCACCTCACAGGTGAAGAGGAGATTTGAGCCAAAGGAGATGTGGTTCTACAAAAGGATGCTGAGAATACTATAGATAGGGCATGTGATCAATGAAACGTTTTAAATAAACTGAAATGAGGACACTTTGGACGTGGGGACAGAATAAGGTACTTGAGATTTTTTTTGGTGGGGTGCACATTGGGGAGAGAGGCTTGGAGAAGTTGACACTCAAAAGACATATCGAAGGCAAGAGGGTGCAAATGGAAACGGCAAATAAGCTACCTAACAGGCAGAAAAAGAGCTACAAGCGAGAAGGAGCTGTGATCACCCACGTCATGTAAGGAGACGTCAGATAGAAGAAAAAGAATAGCCATGGCACTTGTCGCGAAATAATTTGTAGACAAAGATGCCTGTGAAGCAGGTGCAGAGAATGAAAGGCATTTGAGATGTGGATATTAGTCTTCATTTGATGTTTGTCCCCTGCTGACACACCAGATTCCTCAAGCGAAGTAAGAAGCTATCGCGTAACCTTTCTACTTATGTTGACATTCGTAACATTACGTGGATGCCACGCACAATAGAAGACGAGAAGTGTAAGCGGTTTCTTTCTGTTTAATTAGCAAAGATTGACAGAATGGCGATATTGCTGGAGCATGAATATCTGAAAGCCCCCGCCTTTGTTTTTCTTGCGTAATCATACAATGGTGCAGTAGTTAACAAACTTGCTTCGCCGACCAATTCGCTAGTGCCGAGAGTTCGATTTCGAAAGTTCTGGGTCTGACGATAACAAGTAGTAAGTCCTCCGATTGGCGGTTTTGAGGGGTCTGGAACTACCACTTAATTGCTGTTGTTCCCAACTTCACCCTAACCCGGGGTAGTAGCACCTGTTAGGGTCCCAGCTATGGGAAAATAGTGAATCCCCAAACAAAACACTATGAAATTATAAAAATATATTTTAATAGTAAAAATACCATCAATACATGACCAGCAATACATTTTATCTGTAGCTAAAGGCATACAACTTTGTTTTAAACCTATTTAGTTGAAGCTATAAAATTATGTTCAAGTTATTTAGATTCCAGGATTAGATGTTCAGTAGGAGTTGATATTCCGCTAAGCAAAATCAACCAACCAAAAATCAATTTCCCATGTGCGTCACCCCATTTTAGTCGTGAGCCATTACAAAGAAACTTTAAACGCATATCGGCACTAGTGGCACCTGGCATTGTCAGATTATTAAGCAGTAGAGCCAGTTGGATCCTCACGTATTCTTCACTCTACTGACGAAAAATCAGACGAAGTAATTACGAGCAAACAACCATTAAAAGAGGTTTACAACCGTATCACGTTGAAACACTAGTTCCTGTACGATCACCGGGGTTAAAAAAAGTTGGTTGGTTTGGTCGTTTTTGTTTTTACGGCATATCAACCTCAATGGGTTATTTAATGCCGACAAGATTTTTATTGCTGGTCATATTTGTTATCTATCTATCTATCTATCTATCTATCTATCTATCTCAGTATATATTGGTTTGGTCTGTTTTGTTTTTACGGCATATCAACCTCAATGGGTTATTTAATGCCGACAAGATTTTTATTGGGTCATATTTGTTATCTATCTATCTATCTATCTATCTATCTATCTATCTATCTATCTATCTATCTCAGTATATATTGGTTTGGTCTGTTTTGTTTTACGGCATATTAACCTCAGTGGGTTATTTAATGCCGACAAGATTTTATTGCTGGTCATATTTGTTATCTATCTATCTATCTATCTATCTATCTATCTATCTATCTATCTCAGTATATATTGGTTTGGTCTGTTTTGTTTTACGGCATATTAACCTCAGTGGGTTATTTAATGCCGACAAGATTTTTATTGCTGGTCATATTTGTTATCTATCTATCTATCTATCTATCTATCTATCTATCTATCTATCTATCTATCTATCTATCTATCTCAGTATATATTGGTTTGGTCTGTTTTGTTTTACGGCATATCAACCTCAATGGGTTATTTAATGCCGACAAGATTTTTATTGCAATATTTGTTATTTTTATCTATCTATCTCTATCTATCTATCTATCTATCTCAGTAGTTTATATTGGTTTGGTCTGTTTTGTTTTTATATTAAACCTCATGGGTTATTTAATCCGACAAGATTTTTATTGCTGGTCATATTTGTTATCTATCTATCTATCTATCTATCTATCTATCTATCTATCTCAGTATATATTGGTTTGGTCTGTTTTTGTTTTACGGCATATTAACCTCAGTGGGTTATTTAATGCCGACAAGATTTTTATTGCTGGTCATATTTGTTATCTATCTATCTATCTATCTATCTATCTATCTATCTATCTATCTATCTATCTCAGTATATATTGGTTTGGTCTGTTTTGTTTTACGGCATATCAACCTCAATGGGTTATTTAATGCCGACAAGATTTTTATTATGGTCATATTTGTTATCTATCTATCTATCTATCTATCTATCTATCTATCTCAGTATATATTGGTTTGGTCTGTTTTGTTTTACGGCATATCAACCTCAATGGGTTATTTAATGCTGACAAGATTTTATTGCTGGTAATATTTTTCCTTCAAAAGTGTATTGTTGGTAATAATTTATTGTTAGGAAATAATTTTCTTCAAAAATTTATTGCTGGAAAAAGAATAATTTTTACAAAGTGTATCTGAGTATTAAAACCTATTTTACACTTCCATAGTGTTTTGACACTAGTTTGGGGATTAACTATTTACCCATAGCTGGAAACTTAACAGGTGCTACCACTCAGGTCCAGGGTGGACATGGGAACACCAGCAATTAAGTGGTGGTTCCACGCTCCTCAAGACCTCCTGATCAGAAGCCTTGCAGTTGGACGTAGTTCATCGTCTTGCTCAGGACGCAGGCGTAGTTAATCCTCCTACCCAGGACGAGCAAAGTTGAGGCTTGTAAGTACCTCGGTGGGTAACCATTTGAAAAATACTACGTGCTGGAAACATACATGTGCGGGTGATGTAATTGATAATATTTAATCGGAGAGCCGAGTTCCAATTCCAGTCGATTTCGTTATAATCACTAACACAGAAATGGTTAAAAGTATGAAAGTACATCTTCTCCCCCCAGCTATGGGTTAATTAGTAAATATTGCATCATTAAACCATTATTATCTCCCAAAAATATCTTACTATCTAAAAATATTTTTGCCTTTAAATAACCTGCAAAGTTTGGATAAATCGAAGAAAACTTGAATCAAAAACTATTAAATCTTGGCCTTCAAGGGATAAGACCGGGAGCGGACCTTTGAAGTTGGCGACCCCAATTTCCAAATTTGTAAACATATGTAACAGGATGCAGATTCACATGATGCAACCGAATGTGAGAAGTACTTGTATCTTATTTACAATATTTACATAATTCTGACGGCGGTCCTTATTTTTCTTGCCATATTCACGACGTTTCGGCCTATGTACGCCCTGGTCTTCTTCAGGTGATTGAAATTTCGAACTGAACCCTTTATTTCGTCTATTGGGATAGAGTGTTCCATGTTGCTATGCCACTTCCGGATATCTCAGTATCTGTTATGTCCCTTTAACTCAAATTTCCAAGTATTTTTCCACCTCTGCTGTGACCAGGTATTGAACTCACAGCTCTTTGGCTCAAGTCACTGGATTGCTTCAAACAACGCTTTTATCCACTGGGTCATATCACATGAAGAAGACGGCTGGAGCGTACAACGGTCGAAACGTCATGAATATGGCAACAAAGATGAGGAAAACAGTCCGAACAATGTAAATGATTACAAGACCTCATCTCAGAAATGCAAACTCTGAATATGGAAACAAAGATGAGGACAACAGTCCGAACTATGTTGTATAAATAGTTACAATACCTCATCTCAGAAATATAGACAGATCCTGAAGAAGAACTGAGCGTACAACGGCCGAAACGTCGTGAATATGGCAAACAAAGATGAGGGACAACAGTACGACAATGTAAATAGTGTAAATAATTACATGACCTTATCTCATAAATATAGACAAATACTTGTATCTTTTCCCAATTAAATGTAGAAAGGAAGCAGTTTCTGAGATATATATCACAAGCAATTTCTTTCCTCCCTTAACTGCTACAGTAAGATGACCAAGCATAGTGGATTGAAGACGATTCGTCTGTGTTGATGAAAGCAATAACTACACTGGAGCGGCTGGCGAGGCATTTCACCAATGTGCTATCATTTAAAAATAGTCTAAAAGAAATGGCAATGAGTGTTGATTACCAGACAAAATCAGCGTGGACCCCCCCAAAAAAAAACAATGACACAAAACTTTAAATATACATCTCGTACATAAAGTGTTTGTATTAAAAAATAAAAAAAAGGAAGAATAAAATAAATATAAAGGGATCAGGTTGAAATCATAGACAAAGGACATTAATTATTGGAAAATTTGTAAACTTAAGGAATCAGCACATATGCTAGCCCACAAAAATCTCCTGAGCCGACCAAGCATAGAAATTAATACAATATGAGATCCAGTAATAAGGAGTGCCAGAGAAAAGCACTAATAACAATAAAAATTGGTAAAAAATCTGGTAAAAAACATAAAATAATAACAGCAAAAATTGCAATATGAGTACTGGTAAAAAACTGATTGCTTAAGACATTATGTTTATAATACCCAGAAATTCATACACAGTGGATAAAGGCTTTAGTTAGACTCAGTGACAGGACCCAAAGTGTGTGAGTTCAATACCTGGTTAAGGCAGTGGAGAACTTGGAGAGAGGAATTAACAGGAGATAATTGACAACTGACATCCATTAAACATGACATGTGAACTAGAACAATCTACCCCAGTGAGCGAAATAAAGGGTTCAGTTCGACATTCCAACCACCTGTAAGAAGGCCGGAGTGCACAACGGCCGAAACGTTGTGATAAATATGGCAACAAAGATGAGGATGATATACGAACAATGTAAATAGTCAAGATAAATAGATTTAGTAAAAATTATACTGATGTAATCAGTGAGATCAAGAGTTGAACTTTAAAGATTTTAAAAGTTTCAGTAGCTAAAATGATTATAACACAGCAACGTAAAACGAAAAGACACGGGTGGTTAATTGTCCATTTTAGGCTTAAAGATTCCTGATTTTATATTTATATATCTGATCTTCTAATAAAACGATATTATGTATGCAGTCGCCCACTACTATGCTCCAACGATGCCTTAAACTGGGTATTGTACACCCCCCCTACACATGTACACACACAATTTATCTGGCTGGTCGAGTATTGGTGGGGTGGTCTTGCTTCGTTACGCGGTAGCGTCTCCTGTTGATGATTTCGTAGCACGCGTCGAAGTGGTCTGCGAAGGTCGGTTTCGCTTACACTTGGCAGATGCACGTACTGGCTTCTCTCGGCGGCGGTTACGGCTGCTAATGTTGGTGCCTGAATAAAGAGGTAACTAAAAAAGACAAACGCATGCAAAAAGGAATGAAGTCCTATTTATTTCGGGCCTGTGGAATGAATTATTTTTTATTAGCCTTGCGAAAACTTGATATAAAGCTTATCCCATTTTACTAACATACGTGCCGCCCATATCCTTGTCTCAAAATGCTTCGATTGATCATCTGAGAAAAAAAAAAGAAAGATTATTGGGGAAAGAGAGAGAAAGCTGCTGATTCTGTTTCTTGATTGGTTGATTTTGTCGTCATCCCTTTTGGCTTCATTTCTTTTCTGAAATGTAATACAATCTAAGAATTTGAAACGTCAACATCAAAAGTGGGAAGTGTTTTAATACAGGATAGAAAATGCGGTACCTAAACCCAAACGTACTTTGCTATCGCAAAGATGCAATCTTAACGCTGAGTAAAGTGCTAAGAAACAAGAAAATTTCGTTATAAACAGTGTGAGAATAGTATTGAACTGTCGTGCAATATCAATATTCTTGTATGTTAGTGAATGCTGAACAATCGCATATGAAGAGAAAACTGACGCAAGATAAATGTGGTTCTATAGAAGGATGCTGAGAATACCATGGACGGAGCGAGTAAGAAACGAAAAGTCCTAACGAAAGTGGAAATAAAACAGTCATACTCAGAATCAAGGATAGCTGAAATTTCTTGGACACATAGAGAGGAAAATGGAATTGAAGAACTTGGAGCTCACAGGATATATCGAAGATAAAAAGGTACCGGGGAAAGTAGAGATTCTACCCATTTGAGGAGCATTTTTGCGTGGATGGAGGAACGGGGTTTAGAAAGCTTGTCAAAGGGGCAAAAGTTACTATGACCTATAAGGAATAGACGGTTATAGAGAGCCATGATCTCAAGTGTCCTTAAGGGCCACAGCATGCAGAATGACAGTAGATAGGTTACTTTCTTTTTTTTTTATTAAGTTGGAGAAGTAAAAAAGAAGTTCTATATCCACTATTTTATAATCCTTATAATATGCACATAAATTAGAACGCTTTTACCTGCAAAACATTCATTCAATCTTGGACATCAAATTGAATTACTATGTGACCAACATCGAAGTACTGGAAAGAACCAGCAGTCAAGGCATCGAATCGCTGATCATTAAACACCGTCTTTGATGGTCAGGACACGTAGCAAGAATGGAAGAGTCATGGTTTCCATGTCAAGTTTTATTCAGTGAGCTCATTGCAGAGAAAAAGACTATGGGTTTCCCCCCTTCGAATATACAAGGACCAACTTAAAACAAGACTAACAGTATCTGGATTTGAGCCTAAATCGTTTGAATCACAAACACAAGACATTGCCACCTGCCAATATTCCATCATCATCGGAACCAAAAACTTCGAAGACACCAGAATAGAAAAGGAAGAAGCCAGACGATGAGAGAGAAAGGCTTAACAGAATCGGCTACGTCCTCCTCTAACATTTCCATGCAGTTAATGCCATCAGATCTTCCATGCAAGAATTGGTCTACTTAGTCATCAACGCTATCACTATAAAGGAAGCGAATAGAAAATAAGAAATTAAATTTTGCGACACGAGATAAAGCCGACAACGATACATGATAAACTTTAATTTATATAATAAATAACATAATGAAATAGAATAATTAAAGCAATATATTGTAATAATATTTTGATTCGTTCTTACCGTAGATCTTAGCAAAATTACGGATCTCCTTTTATTCAGTCGAGTACTCTAAAGGGAAGCAGTAGCTAGCGGTTAGCTGTTAGTATATCTGATTTACCAGAAGTACAGTGCTTGGGCTTTGGATGGACACAAACGGGAAACCCGCTGGCTAAGCCTTATAATAGCGCACCAACCGAAAAGGGGGAAAGCTTTCGCATACATATGAGATTATGATCGGCGTTCAAAGAAAGCACCCAAAGCCTAACACTCTTTCTTCGAGATTGAAGTTCAGAAATGAATCTATATCAATAAAGCGCAGTGTATGTGTGTCCGTCCGTTTTTCAATCATGGCGAATCATAAACAACATGAAGTAAGAGGAAGTTACACGCGATTAAAA